TAGAACAGAGACCAGACATTTTGTTGTCTTATACTTTTTACATTGGAACATGTTTTATTTTATCACTTTTCTTTGTTCAGAATAACAATAATGTTGATGCTTATTCTATAGGTTTATGGTAAGACTGTTTCCATATTATCTTGAACTATTTGGCCATTTTTTTTCCATCTATGAGGCAACGATAAAATAACCCCTTTTATGACATACAAAGCATACATGTTAGTGCTCACATTTAGGATTTACAAGATAGTAGACTGTTGTGGCTTTGGCACCAGAAGGAATATAATCCCTCTTCTTATATGCTCTGGTTAAATGGTTAATTAAAGAATGTGTGTATGTGACAACACCGTGACTGATTAAGAATTAGTTCCTGAGTGAAACCTAATTTTCTATTATGCAATATGCTGTATTTGGGAATGATGAAGGGACCTCAGAGGAAAACAAGAAATAAATCAGAAAACAGATTGACATTCTGAAGACAAGACAAGAAGTAACGGATGAAAACTAACTGAACTGTGTGGATTAGGATTTGGAGAAATACTGCCTTGGCTTTGCTCCATGACAGAAAACTGGTGCCCAAAAGTAACAGCAGAGAATTCATGTTTAGCTGTATGGCATTTGGTTTGGGACTTTCCAAGATAACATGATTCCTTCTCTATTTGGATAGGACACTGCATATCATGGTATGTATTCTGGGAACAGTAGTAACCATCCTCTTGTGATCCAGGTGATGGAAATGATTTATATTGGGATAGTCAACTATTTGACTTCTTAGTGGTGTTTTTTGGAGTCGTTAGATGGCAGACAGATATAAAGATGTTTGTGATTTGCATTTTGGAGTTGTCAGCATTTAATATTTATCAACAAAACTATCTTAAATATTTCATAGCTAGAACATATTTTGTCACTGGTATCCTCATTTAATCTAATTTAATATGAACATATTTGTGTATGTACATGTGTTAGATTAAATTAAAGTGCCTAGAAGAATGAACAAGCACAGACTGAAGGATTACACCACATGCTTCTTCACTGGAACCCAAAAAATATCTATAATACTACAACCATACTTGAACTGGGTTGCCTTCCAATTCAGACCCAGACAGATAATGCAACAAATGGATTTAAACAAATATTTAATCCGGGAATCCGTAACAGGAACTTACATTCCTGAAGATATGTCCAGTAGTGAACATTTGTCCATTATGTCAGTAAAATCAATAATCTCTCCATATTCACTTTTGCCTGATTACATTCAATGTCCAAGCATGCTGCATGGTTGGTTTGCACAAAGACAATTAAACACGAGCTGACCCGTAGCCAGGATATCCTGTGATGAACTTTGAGTGGCTCTTCCTACAGACTTGTTAACAATGGGATAGCTAACTAGCTAAAACTACATTACCCATAAGCCATCTCTTAAGGAGATAGCGCTTAACCCAATAAATGCCAAACATTCTAATATACAGATCTACATGCTCTAGTCAGGGTTACATGATCCAGAACAATATCCCAAAATATCCCACATCTTTAAAGAAGTGGACTAATCGGATAATTTTCTGCAACATAGCTTTTAGAAGCTCAAAGAAGGAAAAAAATGAAAGTAGTAGAGAAAAATATGTGCTGAATTAGGGTGATGTTGGAACACCATGGACTGCTTTGTTTATGGTATGTTGCAGAGGTCACGATCATCACAACATGTCGTTTCTACAGTGCCCACTGTTTTATTGAAAACCTTCACACCACATTCTTTAATAGATTTTGTGCACCCTTGTTTAATTATACCTTTGATTGTTCCTTCTGTAAAAGAAGAAAATAGATTAACACACCTACATCACTGGTTGCACAATCTACATCACTAGTTGCGTAAAAAATCCTGAAGACCATATCCAAGAAACTTCCTTAGCTTTCCCCCTTCTTGGTACCCCCAAAATATTGTATCCAATTCCACAAAATGGGTGGAAATTCTGGGTGTTGAGATTCCATAATACAAATGGTCACCAAGACTGGGAAAGCCTGGAAAAATGGAATGTATTTGATTTGATAGAAATTACAAATTACATAACCTCTGTCTATTTTCTTCTCTACCCAGAGCACAGAAAACAAGAGGTCATAAATACTCTATTGTATTTTTAATTGGCAAGTGTGTGTCATGTGCAGAAGGAATATTTTTATCTGAATAATATCAGATTTTAGGTAAAGACATACATACCTAGAAATGATTTGACAATTTTACACTTTTGATTTGGTTTAGCAGTGCAAGGTAATGATAGTTTCTTAGTGACACAACCATATCCCAACTTAAATTGTCTGCACTTGTTGCAGATAAGAGCTTCAGTTGCTGGGGGAAAAAAGAAACAGGATCTAGATTTTATAAATATAATTAATTTCCACAGCTCCAAAATTTCTTTACCTCTCATTTCTCCAAAGGTTTAACTGGGTAGTTGGGACCAATATTATTGTAGACAAAATAGTGAAATGGGAAAAAAAAATGAGAGGGAGGCATGCATTCATTCACAAGAACCCCCATGTTTTAAGAATACCACAAATGTTCAAGATAAAGAAAGTTTTGTCATATTGGATGATGATCAGTGAATCCAGAATACTGTGCAGCTTCCTGAATAGCAGGGTACAAGGGGAAAATGATAGATTTCCATTATATTTCTTAAATGCGTCACAGAAACAGCAGCACCAGTTATGACATGAAAAACTGTATACTTCAGTGAAAAAAATGTAAAGAATTTAGAATATTGTAAACCTCCTTTTTTCATTCTTAGCCCAAGTTGCCAGATTGCTTTACTTAAAGCTACAATGGCTTCTCAAGTTCATGTTCACTTTATGGAACTGAAATATTGAACTTTGTATGTATAACAAAGTATATCATTATGGTAGACATGTTTCCACAGAAATGTGGTGGTTCCGAAGGGCTTAAGAGCTCTGGGCTCACATATATGATTCTGAATATTTTTTTCCAGTTCAGTTGCAGGTTGTATTCTTCTCCACCATTTCTTTTAATCCATTTGTAGGTGAAAACCTGAGATGAAACATCCCATCAATTCAGTCAGTGCTACAACTGTCAAAAAATTAAAAATATGGACATAAACCACTCTTCAGAAAATGTATATTCACTGACAAGCAGTGGGACACTTGATTTATGGCTCAACTGAATGGACAAAATGAAGGAAGTGAGTACAGTACCCAAAAAATATACCCTTTGTGTCAATACTATTCGAAACTCTAATTCTGGCTACTTACACAAGGCAGAACAAAGAAGGATGGCAACTGAGAACCACAAAGCTTTGCTCATGGTTCCTTTCCTTCCAGCAATTGTTACTTTGAAGTAATGTTGAAGAATTTGGTGGAATTTTCACTGGTATTGGTGAAGATAATGCTGACCTGTTATCAAAGTCAGCATTGTAACTCACAGAGACATGTTTTCTGAGCAAGTCACAGTTGGATGTAAGTTCTCTGGACATTGAAGATGGTGTTATAAATACTCCAAAATTACAATAAAAATCTTATGACCAAGAATCAGCAATAGCCCGGTGCAGGATGTTCTGTGCCTCCTTGTACGCTACACCTGAATGCTTGATTAAGACATTATGAAAACTTTCTTAATCAACTGAAAATACATTGAAATTAGACCCGGTCAAAGATGTTGTATTCATATTGGTAAAAATGTCTATTGGAGAAAGATACATATGTGGTTAGAAAAAATATTGGGTGAACAAATGGATTTTAAACCTGAACTTTTTTTACTAGGTATTATGCCTGAAAAGACTAATAAGCAGAAATTATATTTAATCTTACACATCACCACAGCAGCGAGAATAATTTTTGTACAATACTGGAAGAATGAACGACTGCCATCAGAAGAAGAAATAATCAGGAAAATATTGGAATGTGCAGAGATGGACAGATTAACTATGAGGTTGAAAGATAAAGAAGATACAGACTATTATCAAATTTGGGATCTATTTTATTGTTGACTAGAGGAAAGAATGAAGGATTAGGAATTGAACATGTATTAGCATAGCAAACTCCAGACAACTCATTGATTGGAAAAATTAACATATGTTTATGAAAAAAAACAACCAATAAAATCTTTATAAAAATATATATTGATAGGCCAATCTATATTAAAGGTTTAATTGCTGGAAGTGTGACATATTTTATCATTAGTTCCTTAATTTAATTTAATTTAATTTAATTTAATACATATCTTCCTGATAAAAGAGAAGAACAAGCATTTAAAAGAATGAACGAGCACACAACTGAAGGATTATGCCATTCGCAATTCATGCTCCTCCACTGGAACCAGTAAATGCCTATAATACTACAGCTGCAACTCAAACAAGCCATCACATCTTTAAAACAATGAACTAATCAGATCATTTTCCACAACATAGCTAAAGGCTTGGAGCTTGGAGAAAGAAAAACACAACTGAAAAATTTAGAGAAGAATATGTCCTGAACTGGTGTTAATGCTGGAACACAATGAATTGCTTTTTTTAAGGTACGTTGCAAAGGTTAGTGTTGCAACAAATGGTATCAGTAGGGCCGTTATTTGGATGGTGAACAGTCTCATCACATTCCTCTCCAGGCTCAGTGCATCCTAATGTAACTATATTTTTCATTCTTCCTTCTATTAAAGAAGAAAATATATTAGCATATCCACATCACTGATTTCACAATAAATCCTCTGGAACATATCCAAGAAGCCCACTTAGAATAGCTTTCTCCTTCCTGGTATCCCCAAGATATTGATATCCAAACCCCAAATTGGATGAGAAATCTGGAATTGAGACAGTCTGTAAAAATGGAATGTATTTGATAGCTAGAAAGTAGAAACTACAGTACACACCCCCTATCTACATTCTCATCTACCCAAGCACAGAAAAACATGGGGGTTGTAAATGCTCTTCTGTATTTCAATTGGAAACTGTGATGTGTGCACAGAGAATAGCTTTATCTGAATAATATCAGATTTTAAGTAGAAGCATACATACCTAAAAAAGTGTTTATAATTTTACACTTTTGACCTGGTTCAGCAATACAAGTTGTTTGAGGTGCACTCCTACAGCCAACTCCCACCTTAAATCTGTTGCATTTATAACAGGTAAGACCTTCAGCTGTTGAAAAGAGAAGCAGCAAAATTTAGGATGTATCAATAAAATTAATTTCTATAGCTACAGAATTAAAGAATATTCATTTCCCTGATATTTAAACTGGGTAGCAAATATCGGATTACCCCAGTGTACTTAAAAACACAATCGCTCCCCATGAGCAGATTTACTTTATGGAACTATAATATTGAACTGTGTATTTTGCCATGATGGGCATGTCTCCACCAAAAAAAAAAAATATGTGGTGATTCCAACAGGGCTTGATTACTCTAGACTCACAACTTTATTTCTGAAGCTTTTTTGTTCTTTCGTTTCTGATTTTATTCATCATAAATTAAAGTGTTGATCTCCACCACTTTTTCTACTCATTTTTAATCTATAGAATTGAGTGGAAACCTCCCACCAGTTAAGTCACATTACAACTGTCAGACAATTAAAAATATGGGACATAAACCATTCTTTAGAAATTATATTTTCCCTGACAAACAATGGGACACTTGGTCTACGGTTCAACTAAATGACCAAAATGAAGGAAATGAGTAAAGGACCCCCAAAATATACTCTTTGCATCAATATTGTTTGGCTACTCACTCAAGGAACAGCAGAGAAGGATGGCAATAGAGAACCACAAAACCTTGCTCATGTTTTCTTTCCTTCCAGCACTTGTTGCTCTGAATAAGGTTGAAGAATTGGTGGAACTTTGATAGATATTGATAAAGATGATCCTGAACTGTTATTGAAGTCAGTATTACAACTCACACAGACATACTTTCTGAGCAAAGTCACAGATGGATGTAAGTTTTTTGGACATTGAAGATGGTGTTATAAATACTCCGAAATTACAATAAAAATCTTATGACCGAGAATCAGCAATGCCCTGGTGCAGTATGTTCTGTGCCTCCTTGTATGCTACACCTGAATGCTTGATTAAGACATTATGAAAACTTTCTTAATCAACTGGAAAATACATTGAAATTAGACTCGCTCAAAGATGTTGTATTCATATTGGTAAAATTCTATCTTATGATTACCCTTGAACCATTTTCAAAACAATTGATGACTATCTTGGGCCAAACATATGCCTTGAAATTGCTCGATTAACATCATTTGAACGATCTGAGGTAAAAAGTAGCATATTTAAGAAAAATTCTCTGTCTTCTGAGGGGTCCTTGGTTCTCTCTGAGCTTGACTGTTTTCTTGCAGACATTTCATTACCCAACTAAGTGCATCAGTGCAGATGATGTTACTTAGTTTGAATAAGGAAATATCTGCAAGAAAACAACCAAACTCAAAGACTGCCATTTCATGGACTGCCATTTCAACCTTGAGCTACAAATATTCTCCTTCATTGGTATCTTTCTTCAAAATGTGGTTGCTGTTCCATTTTAAAATTTAAACATCCATTTATTCTTGCAGGATTATATTCTTTGAAATATAATTTTATTAGAATTATAAATGCAGAATAAAGACTAACAAGAATCCATTTTAATTGTTCAACTGTGGTTCTCAATCATAGGCTGATATTAGAAGCATTTAATAATAAGTAGTGTTTTTGTTCCTGTGGGTCATATCTATCTTGGGACAGCCTGTATTTTGGTATTATTTTTACTTCTCTCCTAAGTGTTGGCATTAAATACCACAATTGCCTTTTCAAGAAGCCACATAGGAATTGCATTACCTGGAAGCATCCTTGCAACCTATTTTGATACATATCCATAATCATTTTGACCAGAGTTCTTATGATCTTTTTTACATATTCCACCAAAGTCAAGACACCTGGGTTTCTCCAAGGTAAACCTTAAAAAACTCCTTTTCCAAGAAGGACATTTATGTTTGCAGACATTCTGGGACTGATTTTATCATTTAAAATATGCTATGAAGGTTTCACTTTTTATTATTTATGCTGTGTTCCCCTTCACCAAAGACAGACTCCTAATCAGGATGGAGAAGATGAACAGGAAGAGGTGGAATATTCCTTTACAGTCTACCTGGTGTGGAAGAAACTCATCTCACTCATATATGGCGAATCATGTTCATAGGATCCCTAGAACATACTCCTATGTTATCATCCTAATTCCTGCTGTGGCTGAAAGTCTAACTTTTTCCACTCAAACACATAAAAATGTTTACATTAATCTTTCACAGAGCTCCTCCCCCCTCAAAAAAAGGCCACAAACCATATTGATGTGAATGTTTAATTCTCTTACAAGAACATAATGACATATCTCCATCCCTTTTCACATGCATCGATCTGTGTGCTTCTTCCAAACCTCTACTGGTTTGTATCATTCTTTCTTCTCCATTGCATTGTTTCCATTTTGTCGTTCAGTTCTTGCCAACTTATCTGACTGGCCAAATTTAGATTGAATGGAAGAAGCAAAAGTAGAGGAAGATACATATTTTATTTTCTAATGGCTTATTGATGTTGAAAATGGAGCTTGAGCATTGCTAAATCATACACACACTGCATCTACTGTTTTTAGAGCCATTCATTTTGTGTTAGAAAACTTCTAAATTACAGAAATGCAAAGGTCTGAAAGCAAGGTATCATGGTATCTGTTTTTGCTTTAGGGATGAAGTGCCCATATCCAATAAGTGAATGACTTGTGAAAACAAAATACTGGAAGAAACCCGTTCTTTGGAGAATCTCTTTGGTTCTGAAAAGGGTCTCTATCTCTATCAAATGGTTTCAAGGAAGCCATATCTATTTCACCTTCTATAAGAATTTAAAGCCGCAGTTCTCCCTTGGTAGTAGGCTTCCTTCCTCTGTTTGCTTTTTTTCTCTGTAGGAAAAAGCCAAGGCATTCAGAGTTAAACGGGGCACAGAGATGGATATTTAAAACAGGAGTCCTCAACTTACAACTGATCACTCAGCAACCATTTTAAGTTACAACAGACTCTACTAAAGCTACTTACAATCCAGTTAGAACACACATACACACAGAGAGTCACATAATTTCATTTTGGGTACTTGAGTGCATTATACCGCCACAATTTTTTCAATCAAAATCTGTTAACTTAAAGAATGCATTTAAAAACATCTGGGAGCCTTTACTCTGCGGAATTGAGATTTTCACAATGTTCAGATCAGTGTTATTCACAAAGTTGTGCCCATTGCAGCATCCCTGCAATCATGTGGTCATGATATCTGATGCTTCTTGACAGCTTCCCACAAGCAAAGTCACTGGGGAAGCCAACAGGAAATCAGAAGTCTCTCTTGCTCCTAATGCTTTCTTGTTTACCTATGGTCCTTCTGTTTATCCTTTCAGGTAAGTAAATATAAGTTCATTTGCCAGTATAATTATTTTTCTATTTATTGAGGCATACTCTTCTTATACACACACACACACACACACACACACACACACACACACACACACACATCCCTTCTCACCCTTATGGGTGGTATGTGTCTTTCTCAATCTCGGGTCCTCCTCTACTGTACACAAGTAGTCCTCAACTTACAACCACAATTGAGCCCAAATTTTCTGTGGTTGAGACAGTTGTAAAGTGAATGTTGCCCCATTTTACAACCATGTTGCCTCAGTTGTTAAGTGAATCACTGTAGTTGTTAAATCAGTAACACACTTGCTAAGTGGCTTCCCAATTGACTTTGCTTGTCAGACGGTCGCAACAGAGGATGGTGTGATCCTAGGGCACTACAAACATCACAAATATGAGCCAGTTGCCAAGCATCCAAATTTTGATCACATGACCATGGGGATGCTGCAACAGACATAAGTGTGGAAAATGGTCATAAGTCACTTTTTTCAATGCCATTATAACTTCGATTGTTGTAAGTCAAAGATTATTTCTGTATGTCAATGGATCTTAATGGAAGGTGAAACAATAAAGGAAATTGAATGTGGTTGGCAGGTATTCTGCAAGCTAAGCATAATTTTCAAGAAAACCTCCCCCTATGCTTGAAGAGAAAAGTTTTCGATCAGTGTGTGCTACCTGCTCTAACATATGCCAGTGAAACATGGACACTAACCTCACAATCAATACAAAAGCTAGGAATGGTGCATGGAAAAATACATGCTTGGCATCACAAGACAAGATAGAAAGATCCGCATGTGGATTAGAGAACAAACTAAAGTACACATCAAGAGAGTAAAAAAAATGAAATGGAAATGGGTTGGCTATATAGCAAGAAGAACTGATGGCAGGTGGACCGAGGCAGTTATAGAATGGATCCCACTTGATAAAAAGCATCCACAAAAGAAATCTAAAACAAGATGGACCAATGACATCAGCAAGTATTGTGGGTCCAATTGACAAAAGAAAGCTTAGGACTGTATAGGTTGGAAAAGGCCTTCATCCTGCAGTGGATAGACAATGGCTAAAATGATGATGGTGGTGGATATGTGTTTGTGTGTGTATGTGTGTATTCATCATCATCATCATCATCATCATTTTAGCCATTCTCTATCCACTGTGGGATGAAGGCCTCTTATACATGGAAAACAGCTGACTTGACCTATAAGCTGCCTACTTGTGCATTAAAATCTAATTGTTTCTTTACCGAAATGGGTTCCTGAACAGGCACCTCTTGTTCCTTCTTGGTGGAAGACCCACGCTTGCTGGGTCTCACAGGTTTTACAGGTGAGTCTTCCGTGGAAGAGCTTTCCGTCTCAGCACTTTGCTGTGATGAAGAAGACGATTCTCTCTCCTGATCATCTCCATTCCATTGCAAGCCAACTACAAGACACATGGAGCTATAAATGTTGCTAGTTTTATGGAAAGCTACCTTGACTGCAGCCACAGGCAATTTTCCTTAAAGGACATATGAAATGGAACATTAGCTATATTCAGTCTGCATTTTTTTTTTTTTTTGCATCACATCTTCAATTCCATGTGCAGAATTCAGTTCTGAGAACTTGTCATTCCTAATAAAGCAAATAAAGTTGGGAAGTTGATATCCAGACCTTCAAACTTTTAGAACTTGTTGTTTCTACCACATATGTGAACCCCTCAATTACTGTCAGAATCAGTTCACAATCCACAATAAATCCCTTTTTGCAAAGGGCAATATCATTATTTCAATCAACCTGTTTCTATTCTCGGAGAGATATTTTATCCAGCCACATCACCTCCATTTTTCAAAATTCAAATAACTTTATTGCAATCATTAACCAGCAGAAAACATGTTTTCAGAAATTATATATATATGTAAAGATATCTTTCACAACACATTTGAGCAGATCTGAAGACCCAATTAAGAGAGCCCAAGATCAACTTCAGATTGTCTCAAGGACTTTGGATTTTTACCTGTTACATGTTGTCCAGCAAGGTATATGGGTCCAGATCCTGATTTTAGCCTAAATGTGATGGGAGGAGTCAAATCAAGCCCTGCTAGAGTAGCCTAGAGAACATAAAAATTCATAGCCTGAGAAGCTATTCAACACTTCAATTAAGCAAAAATACAAAAAACATTAATACTAACTTGACAGACTGAACAGTGGCTAGCAAAGTCTACTGTTGCATCTGTTGGAGGAGGTCAAGATGTTCTATAGCTGAACTGCACAAGATAAATGTTTTAAAGAGTACAACTGTAGACGCTAGAAAACTTTAGACGAAAAGCTAGCTAGAAGGTGTTTGGAATTACCAAATGAGACATCCTAAAAAATAATTATTATGATATCACTCACCATCGGAAGTACAGAAAGTTTCAAGGTTGCAATGCGCACTGGAGTAGAATTAGTGCTACTCTTTGGCGGCAAGATCTCTACAACATTGAATTCATCCTTGGCGTTTTCCCCAAGGCAGATCTACTTGGAAGAAAGGCAGAGTCACCAAGGCTAAAAATATCTAAAGGTCCCTCATTTCTGAACGTAGAGTTCTGGAGCCAGTTTCTCACCAACAGACATTCTCTGACCAAGAAATGCATTCAGTTTAGCCCTCATAAATCCTAAACATATAGCTCCTGAGGGTGAGTTGATTGAAGTTTTGACTTAATACATTGCATAAACCTGTGTCACTCTAATGGATAAACCAATGTTTGTTTATGTAAATTCAAATAACAATAGCACTTAGATTTATATACTCCCTCATAATGATTTACAACCCTTTCTAAGCATATTGTCCCCAACAATCTGGGTCCTCATTTTACCAGCCTCAGAAGGATGGAAGGCTGAGTCAACCTTGAGCCAGTCAGAATCGAACTCCTGGCTGTGGACAGAGTCAGCCTGCAATACTGCATTCTAACTTCTGTGCCACATGGCTTTATAAATAACTTTATTGTGGTCATTAACCAGCAAAAAAAAAAAAGATTAAGCATACCATTTCACTGTATCTTTACTGCACAATATAACCTCTTAGCAAGACTTTTTATACAGTCCCAGACCTCTGAATTTTGTACATAAGGCAGAAATATTCCTAACCATTTGAATGAGAGAACTGGTTACGATTAAGAAAAAAATTGTTTATTTACTGCTTATAGTATTTCTATGGCACTATCCATTTTCCTCAACCTGTGTCTTCATGCATCCCACAAGTATTCCATAAAATCTACCAGAAACCCTGGATCTAAAGAAAAGCCCTATTCAAGAGTTGGAAACCCGATTGTGTTTCGTATCTGTTATTTTTCTCTGAGGATTCACAAACCCCTCACCCAGAGTCTTTTGGAGGGGCAAACAATAACTCAATATTCAAAATGCCCCAAATTGGTGAGATTTTTTTTTTTAAAAAAATGGGATGCTTCGAAACTAAGCTGTTAAAATATAAGCCCCAACATTATTTCAGTGCTTTGCGTTCAACCCTATTTTGATATCAACAGAGGAAAGGAAAACCACTGATTAGCAGGCAGTTAAGAACAAAACAGATGTGAAGCAGAGGGACCGCTGAAGGAACATTTTGACCCCACCTCCATCCCTTGGATTCTGCCTCCTTAAAAAAAAGGACCAGCCATTCACTTACTGTTCTTAGAGCTAACTGCTGCTCACAGGACCATTCTTCCGGAGTTTCAAATGTATAGACTGGGTTTTCCCTGTTGAGCTGACATCCTGAATAGAAAAAAAGGGGATGTTAGAAAGTTGTTTGGCCAACTCACTCTCTCTGGTGGATGGCTTAGATTTGATCAAATCTGGAGAAAACATTTCTTACCCCAGATTACACAAACAGGCTTTTCTGAGCAAAAACTCTCATTGGTAGCAGAGCTGGTTTCCAAGGCCATTGCTTCAAGAAAGATCCTCTTTAAAAAGACAAAAACAAGAGACTCTGTAAATTCTGGAGAGTTAATCAGATGGACCATTCAAAATGTATTACAAAAGCATCGTATCTGTGAGAAATGGCACCACGTCTTGCTTCTTTGGGAATTTAATGGCAACTTGAGTCGAGCAAAAGCAGTGATTATTTACTTTCAGTGGCTAAATGTCTTAGGCTCGTCTTACTTCCCTGCAAATAATCAAAATACATAAGAATGCAACTGCAATTGTTGCCAGGATTCAGGAATAAGATAAAACCATTTCACCTACAAACAAGTAACATTATAAAATCCATTTCTTGAGAAAGAATGTGCTCTCACTTAATACATTTTAAAAGAGATTATCTCAGAGGAATATTTGAAAAATAAATACTATCAAATTTCAAATATCCACATTACAAAGCTCTGAGTCAAAGTCTTAAATCCCTGACACAAGCTCCTGCAATGGTATGCAAGTTAACCTTTACTCAGTTAACCTGTTACAACTTAACCTGGTATCCAAGTTAACTTCTCCCTAAAGTTTCTCTCTGTCTCTTTTTCTTCCCCACTTTAATTTTTAAATAGGAACCCCCAAGTCCAACTAGATGGTCTTTTAGAGACCATGTTTCAGCTGAATAAACAAGGAAAAAACACCACAAATTAGATGGCCAATTTGTTGAAACTAAGCTCAGACAAAAGAGTGTATGTTTTTCTCCATTTTTTAGTTCTGATCAGCAGAACATGCAAGATTTTCATGCAAGTAACTCACCCAAGTCTCAGAATGAACCACCAAACCCTGCTTTGAACAGACGTCCTTTATAAAAGCAAAGCACGTGCTTAATCTCTCCTTAGGCCAATCAATTAAGCCTTGCACCTAGAATAAAATTTCTTAAAGAAAACCAACCCACTCCTATTACAATCTCTCATATTAGGGAGGGCTATAAGCCAACTTTCTTCAAGCTGGTGTTCTACAACAGCTACCACCTTAATCTGTAGGTTCCAGTAACTTTGGTAGATAGCCCGACATACTGTGCCTGAAACACATTCTGTAAAGGAAGGGAGGACAAATTTAGCCATGATTTATTGAATTAATTACAATTGGCAACAAAACAACAAAAGAATCTACACCTAAGTTTGGGGTTCACAAGGTGCACATAGCCTTTGGGGATCTTCTCCCCATCAAATTTAGAATGTAACTTCATTGTGCAGAGAAAGCTCGGTGTGGCTTTCAAGCTAGCAGAAGTGGAACATCTATGCACTAGGATGCTGGTTTGTTGTGCAAACCTAGCTTATTACTTTAAGAATATGTTCCAGATAGACACAATCTGTATTGATGGTTTATGGTTACAGAACTGATGGTTACAGAACTGCAGAGAAAGATACAAGCAAAGGAAGCTTTTTTATTTTTACAGTTATTTGGATTCCCATCTTATTTTAAACCATAACATTTCTTTGGCTCCGAATCAGCTTATGGGAACACAGTCATTCTGCTTGTAAATTGTATTTTATGTCTCAGTGTAATGTGTGAGCACAGCCAGCTAATCAACAAGCCATGATTAAAAGTATAGTGATTTTAAAATGATGTATGAGTACAACTGTTTGACTTTTTTATCCTTTGTTTGTTCTTGAATCCATGTGTCTTTCTATCTTGTCTTGTAATGCCAAGCATTTATTTTTCCATGTTTTTTTGCGTCACTCATAGCTTTTGTATTGATTGTGAGGTTAGTGTCCATCTTTCGGGTTAGTGTCCATGTTTCATAAGAATAGATTCATGGACCTATGTTTATCTTTTTTTTTTTTTTTTTAATTGAAATTTTTCAAAAGTTTTACAAATAAAAATCCACCCCCCCCTCCCCAACCACCCCACCCCCCCCCCGACTTCCCAGAACTGAATATAGGATTATTTAACAAATATTTTAAAAATAACATTTGCAATTTATAAAATAATTAATAATAATAATAAAAATCACAGTAATAATATATATAATAATAATATACATAACATAAACTTTAAAATGAATAATATATACTAAAAAAGAAAAAAAAAATAAAAAGAGAAGAGAGAGAGAGAAAGAAGAAAGAAGAAAGTAGACGAAGAATAAAGCATATATATATAAAAATATATATATATATAAAATAATAATACATAAAAAATGTATATATATAAAAAAGAAAAAGAAGAAAGAAAGAAAGAAAAAACAATCATTACAAATTATAAAAAGGCTAAATAATATTTTTCCATATCCAAATTATGTTGTATAAAATTTATCCATTTTTCCCATACCGCAAAAAATTTTTCTTGAGATTGCTCCTTTAAGAAAGCCGAAATCTTTGCCATTTCTGCCAAATACGAAACTTTATGAAACCATTCTTGTAAAGTAGGCAAAGATTCCTTCTTCCAATATTGTCCTATTAACAACCTAGCGGCTGTAATCAAATTTAACATCAATATAACCTCCTTAGCATCACAGTCAATAACAATACCTAGTAAAAATAATTGCGGAGTAAATTTTACCCTCCTTTTAAAAATTCTTTGAATATTCCACCATATCTTAATCCAAAAAGCTTTTATATGCTTACACGTCCACCAAATATGGTAATAGGTAGCATCCAAATATCCACATCTCCAGCATTTCGGCTGTAGATTAGGGTACATAATGGACATTTTCTTTGGGTCAAGGTGCCATCTATAAAACATCTTATAAAAATTCTCTCTTAAATTTTGCGCTTGTGTGAATTTAACATTTCTTATCCAAATAAGTTCCCAAGTATCCATTGAAATCGTTTCACCAATATTCTGTGCCCATTTAATCATACAATCTTTAACTAGTTCAAGTTCTGAATCTAATTCCACTAAAACCCCATAAACTCTCTTAATATGGGTTGGCCTTTGATCTCTTACTTGTTTTAAAAAAATTTCATCTTCTCTAAGCCAGCCCATTTTACAATCCATCTTCCATCTATCCACTATTTGTCTATATTGGAACCATGAATAAGTTAAGTTTTCATGTGTTAATTCTTCCAAAGATTTTAACTGCCAGTCTTGGCCATCCCATCTTAGTAACTGTACGTAAGAGACCTTGTCCATATTTACCCCTTTCCTTATACCTTCTATGGCATGCCGAGGTATAGCCCATAATGGTATTTTGAAGTCACTTTTATAATACTTTCTCCACACTCTTAGCAAAGAGTTTCTTATAATATGAGACTTAAAAACCCAATCCACTTTTTTATTAAATATTAAATAGGCATGCCATCCAAAAAATAGGTCCCAGCCTTCCAAATGAAGTATTTCTGTATTTGTTAAATTCACCCAGTCGCTAATCAATGTCAATACTACAGCATCATAATACAATTTCATATTTGGTACCTTGAGTCCACCTCTCTCACGAAAATCTTGCATTATTTTAAGTTTCACCCTTGGTTTTTTCCCTGCCCAAACAAATTTATTAATACCTTTTTGCCATTCATCTAAATTACGTTCGTTCTTTAAGATAGGTAACATTTGGAACAAAAAAATAAACTTTGGCAGGACATTCATTTTAATAACTGCAATTCTGCCCATAAGGGATAACTGTAAATTATTCCAGTTTTTTAAATCCTTCTGTACCTCCATCCACAGCTTTTCATAATTATTTTTATACAATTTTACATTAGAAGCAGATAATGTAACCCCCAAATATTTTACCTTATCAACAATTTCAAAGTCTGTTAAGTTAACTAGAGCCTGTTTATCACCATTAGTCATGTTTTTAGCTAATATTTTGGTCTTATTATTATTAATTTTAAAGCCAGAAACACGTCCATATTGTTGAATCAATTGTAATAATTTCACCACCGAAGAAACAGGTTGAGACAAAGTAACAACCAAGTCATCTGCAAAGGCTCTTAATTTATATTCTTTTTTATTAATTTCTATTCCTTTTATTTCTTGAGACTCCCGAATTTTAATCAACAAAATTTCCAGTGTTAAAACAAACAATAACGGAGACAACGGGCATCCCTGTCTTGTTCCTTTTTCTATTACAAAAGCCTCTGACAAACCCCCATTTACAATAATTTGAGCAGTCTGTTTTTGATATATATTGGATAATACTTGTAATATATTTTGTCCAAAATTCATCTCCTTGATTAAACACAGCATAAACTGCCAATTCACTTGGTCAAAGGCTTTTTCAGCATCCAAAAATATCAGGCCTGCAGAGACTTGGTTATTCTTTTCTAAATACTCTAATAAATTAATAATTTGTCTAACGTTATTCTTCATATACCTTCCAGTTATAAAACCCGATTGATCCCTATGTATAAACTGCTGCAAGATCCCCATAAGCCTGTTAGCTAAAATTTTTGCAAAAATTTTATAATCCACATTTAAAAGAGATATAGGCCTATAATTTTTAGGCAAAGTAAAATCTTGACTATCTTTTGGAATCAATGATATAAATGCATTACGCCAGGATGGAGGGATCTCTAACCCCTGTAATAAATTATTAAACAGTTCACACAACGGTTGAATCATCTCTTCTACTAAAGCTTTATAATAAATAGATGTCAACCCATCCGTACCCGGCGCTTTGCCCAATTTCAATTGTTTAATAGCTGTAACAATTTCTTCCTTAGTAATTAAACCGTTAATCTTTTTTTCCTGATCTTCTGTTAATTTAGGAAAGTTAACTTTGCCTAAATAATTATTTATATCTGTAATTTGAATATTAGTACCCTTATATAATTTTTGATAGTATTCTAAAAAAGATTTCTTAATCAATTCTTTCTGATAAACCAATTTACCATTATAATTTATTTTATCTATATTCCTCTGTTTCTGTTTTTTTCTTAACTGATAAGCCAACCATCTCCCTGGTTTATTAGCATTACAAAATGTATTTTGTTTCATAAATAGCAAATTAGTTGCAGCTTGATCAGCCATCAGCATGTTAAATTGTGTTTTTAACAATTTTAAAGCTCCTTTAACCTTTTCATCTAAGGGATTTGAAATTAAAAGTTTCTCT